AAGCAGAAGATTAACAATAAAGAACAAAACAAAGAGAATAAGAAGAATAAGGAGAAAGATCCACGATGCATGAGAAATGAGTGATTCCAATAAGATGAAACAAAAAACCAACGAAGAGAGCACAAAAATTGATACCTCAAATGAAGACCAAGCTAGTAATGAAATGTACTACACAACTCTCCAGCAATAAGCAACGATTACAAGTTTTGCAGGGGAAAAAAATATAGTAGAGAACAGATTGGAAAATCCTAAACTTCCATAATTTATATCTGCTGAAAAACAGAGAATGAGTGATTGGAACAAGCTGAAACAAGAAACCAAGAGCAAAATAACTGATGCCTTAAATGAAGACCAAGCAAGTTATGCAAATGTTTACAGGACTCTCCAGCAATAAACTAGGATTATACTTTTTGCAGTACAAGAAGAGTAGAGAGCCAATTGGAAAATCCTACCCTTCTATATTTTACATATGCTGCTCAGTTGTCCACTTAAACGAATTAAAGCATTGATCTATTGCTTCTGAGGTTGGTAATGAAGGATCATAGTTGTATGTTTGCCTTATGGCATTGGACAGCAAGATCATTTTGGAAATGAATTTCCGAAAAGGAATTTATGAGAATTAAGAGCTGGGAGAATCTGTCATCTAAATGAAAAAGATCTGGCCTTCAATACCTACAGGAATAGCATTGTGCTTTAAAGATAAATCTGTTGCAGTTAGTGGCTGAATGCTCTGCAAAAATGGCCAATTTTGCACATTTCACGAGTCATTGCCGCTGCACATACATGTTGCAGCTCATTCAGTCTGTTGTTCCATATACATTTCATGAGTCAGTGCCACTGCATATACATGTTGCAGTTCATTCAGTCTATTGTTTCATAAGTTAAAACAAGGAAGGATAGACAATATGAACCCCAATTCTCCTGTTGCATGCCATTGGGATGCAACCAATTTTGAACCACATAATGATTATCCTTTGGATTTGGCAAGACCTAAATTAGGGGACAGAACCATAGCAAAAGTTTGAAGGTAAAGTGACTTATATCATCCAGATATCCTTCTTTTAAGGGCTTTAAGAGATGAATCATATTTATGCACAGCTTAAACTCATGAAGAAATTAGTGCAAGAAAAAAGTTTTAGTTTTTAAATAACCCATCGTACTGGTGATTGCTTAAGATTAGGACCCGAAGATGTCAAATCATTTGCTGCTGCACTGGTGAGGCTTGATCTGGGGTTTGATGTAGGCCGTGCTATGGTAGGTGACCTCAAACTCTGCCTGAGAAATTGTGAGACATTTGGCTCTGGAATTGTAGCTTTAGATGAAGATGGCACCTAATATAAGGAACAAGTTGTCAAAATTGAAATAAGCAACCTGAACAACTAATGTCCAAAACGAATACCAATTTAGTAAAAAAGAAGAATGGGTTACATAGCTCTCCAGCAATCATCAAGGATTATAAGTTGATTAAAAGGAGTAGAGAATGATAAGGGCAAAAACCTACTCCCTCTATATGTAATTCATTTGCTCCCTAGTCCTCAATTCAACCAAATCAAACCTCGTCCCATGGATTTTAAGGGTAGTAGTAAAGAATCATAGTCATATCTATATCTTTTGGTATTATGCAGCAACATCAGTTCTAAACTGAATTTCCAAAAAAAAAAAAAAAAAAAAAAAACTTTTCAGTAATGTAAGAAGTGTATGCATCATTCTGTTATTTAATCTCAAAAAATCTAGAGTCTGCATTTCAGATGGCATTCAGTTTGGGCAGTTTTCTGTTGTGCATCTAAAGCTTATTAGTTCTGCAAAGATTAAGCTCATTTTGGCCATTTCAAAAATTCATTGCCGCAATATGTAGTGCTCCAGATTGGAGTATAGTCAATCTATGCTGTTACAAATGGTTTTGTGTTGCATCATACTTTAAAAGTTAAAACATTGAAAGAGAGACTGGCTTCATAAGTTGCGCAATGCAACGACGCTACCAAATTTGAACAGCATAATTAATTCTCTTACAATTTGGCATGATATATATTTGAGAGTAAAGAGATTTATTTTGTTCAGATAACATTCTTTTAAGGTGCTGAAGAGATCAAGCACATATATATATGCATGTCATAAACTAATGTAACCTTAGATGAAAATGGCACCTAATAATTAGGAACGAGGCTCGACTTACATAACTAATTTCACGAAATCTGCCGTATAAGACTAATCAAGCATCAAACTTTTGCAGCAGAACAGCCCCATGACCTCAAATCCAAATTGAAATACATCAAATTCTGCCATTTTTCACAAATATCACTTGCTGAGTTTCTATAACACATTATCCAACTCAACTTGTGCCGATCATTTGTGATAAGCCAGCAGTTTTATAGGTTCAGCAATCAATAAAATAGCATCAATTTTGAGGAACACGCGAGTAAGTAGAACACAAACAATTACAACAGAAAGACTGACAACAAGCAGCATAAGAAAATTTAGAGTCTGAGTCCTCACCTCCAAAGGTAACAGCTCTGCAAATTCTGCCTCAGACAAGAAGTAAGCAATCTTTTTCCTATATGCCAATTCTCTCTGAATCGCTTGCTCCACGGACATGATGTTGACCTCCTTTCCTTCAGCCATTTCTCTCTGAGACACCTGCAAAAGCTCAGTCTTAATAACTCGAACTCATTATTCAATCATATATCCATCCACTCTCACTCACCTCAATTTTCAGAATTCCACCAAGGTTTTTGTTTCTTAAGCAGTAAATCAACAAACAGGGGATAAGGGTTCATACAGGACAAGTTTGGAAATTTTCCAAAATCAAATCTTGAGCTTTAGCTGTATAAGTAAGCTTTAACTAACGCAATAAACAAACCACAATCCACCTTTTTAATGAAATTTGATAGTTCACGTAGTAAATTTTGCATCACAAAATGCTGAAGATGCCACTTTCACAATATCAAAAAGGAGTACTAATTGTTTGAAAATGCAGTTGAAAGATAGAAACTTTATAAGGAAAGAAAACAGTCCATCATGCTTTTGTGATGGAGATGATCATATTCACCAAAAGAAAGAAAGAAAACAGAAAATCAAAAGACTCTGCGAGGAAAATTTACCTTGTAAAGTTTGCAGAAGCGAGTACGAAACTGAAATATGGCAGAAAAGAACAGGGTTCTGGAGTTCTTGATGGTTTATTAGCCTCACAGCCTCACTGTGTGACTGTGTGCGTCTGTGTGTGTGTGTGTGTGTGTGTGTGTGTGTGTGTGTTTTGGTACAACCGAACATTTGAGTGCCTGTGGGCGTACAGGTTTTCAAAATGCAGGGTGCTACTGTATGCGACTGGAAAGAAAAGAAAAGAAGAAAAACAAAAATCTATGCTAAGAGTGTACGCGTCTAATTTTGAAACGAACTTGTCAATTCCCTCCTTTATAAATATGGATTCATATAGTTTCTGGTTGTGCTAAGTCCTTTTAGCAATTTGTAATTTTGTATAGGTTTCTTAGGCTGAAATGAACTATAAGACATTTTTTTTTTAGTCTCAAAATTGTAAGTTTTTGGAATTACTATTTTCTATGCATCACTGTTAAGAATTTTTTGCACTAGTAGATTTGAATGCATGACTCTAAAATGTTAGTTTTGCATAAGCAGCATGTATCTTAGTACAAAACAATTTGACAATGGCAATGTAGAAAACGCTAATCTATTTTTTCAACCTTAGAATAGAAACTAAAATCAGATTACATGTTTTTTTTAATCTTATGACAGTGACTCTTTGGAATTAATTTTTTTTTACATGTCAAATTTAAGAATTTTGTATACTAGCAAATTGGGACGCATGACCCAACCTCTTTTTGAATTTGAAGTATTGGTTTTGTATATACTGTATGTATGTATACTCGTTAGTGCAAAATAATTTTTATACTAAAAATATTAACCCATTTTTCACATAAATAATCATAGTTATTTTCAAATAAATAATCATAGTTAATTTCACATGTAAATCTCCAAGATATTTATTTGTAAGGCATACACCATATCAAATGAGATTGAGATAGCTCGAATGGTGTTCCATTGGTTAAGTTGATGTACTATTTACAAAATTAGACTTATTTAAGTTATTGCTTTCATACTTTCAATTGATAAACAGGAATAAAATTTACACATTCAACAAAATTATATAAGCATATATACAATGGTTGATTGCAAGATAACTATACAAAAATTAAATGAAAAAATATAAACAAATAAATGAAAAAAAAAAATGAGTCGCTTGCATGCAAATGGACATCACGCTTATGTAAATTTTGCAACTGAGTCAATGTTAATAAATCCATACGTGGGTATGTTTGGATAGGAGATTATTTGAAATATTACTTAAAATAATTAATGTAGCACTTATTACGATGTAATGTAGGCGAAATAGAAAGCAGATTAGAAAAATAAAAATGTGTTTGTCATGCAAACAAGTAATTTTTTGACAAATAATTCCTATGCAAACACACCCGACATCACCCTCAATCTAGATAAGTTTTAAACGACTTTGTTCTTCCTACATGCATTTACCTATGGTTCAACTGGGAAATTAAAATTTCCTTATTGATGTCACCTAGATCATCCATTTACTAAGTTGGATCAAATGTTCCACAAAGTAGGTACATTAGTGTTATAGGTTTTATTTGGGTAAACGTCACTGGGAAGAAGAATTCCATAAAAAAATATGATTGTAATGTCTACCATATGTAAAACTGATAAGAATCTCCCCATAATTTAATCATCTTTCTATCGTATGCCAACCTAACCTCTCTTTGGATAGATTTGACTGGTTTTTTCTCCGAGTAAAATGTAAAGTCTGAACATTACGGGTCTGTTTGTTTGGAAGGAAAAGGTTTTCCGGAAAACATTTTTCATATTTTCTTTTGTTTGGTTGTCAATTATTTTGGGAAAATAATTTCCGATGGAAAATAAATTACATCCAGAGGAGGAAAATAACTTCCTCATCTGTCTTTGTGAAGTTATTTTCCTTCCTAAAATGCAGTCTTCTTTTTCGCAGCGACATCTCCTCATCTCCGGCAAATAAAAGCTTTCAGTCCAACCAAAAGCCGCCGGCGACATCTCATCAGCAAACAAATCCCTCCTTCTTCGCAGGCGGCATCTCCAACTCCGACAAAGACCCAATTTCGGAGGTAACAGATCATCTCCCTCTCTCTCTCTCTCTCTCTCTCTCTCTCTCTCATTTTTTTTCCTTTAAAAGCTGCCAATATCGACGGTCATGTGTGGATGCGTTTGTGTGAGTGTGAGTTTGTGTGGTCCATTTCTCTAGTCATCGGAACTAGACTTTGCCATTGCGGCCGGTAACCATCTCTCTCTCTCTCTCTCTTCAGTCAGCTTTTTGTTTGTGAGCTGTGCCCGCCATTGTGGATGCGTTTGCTTATGCAGCCTCAGAAGCTTGTTTGACGGCATAAGCACAATCTGATTCCCGTTCCTACAATAGCATTTCCAACAAGGGTGAAGATTCCTCAAGTATTTCCAGAGGTATGATCTCTTGTTAGTTGTTTTTTCCTCCCTTTTCCTTTGAAAAATTGTCTAGAATTACTGGTGTAGATTCTTGAAGTTCCATTTGAATGAATTTTTGTGGGTTGCTTTTGTTTTAGTTTGTTCTTACCTGATTAGGGTTAAATCTGATTTGATTGATGCTAATGAATTAATTTGGCTGCTGATTTTTCGGGGTTTTAGACCATTTGTAAAAGTTTTAGTGAATTCATTGAGTTTGTGAAGCCACGGGCTGATTCTTACTGCAGCTGCTTGATTGAAAAGGGAATATAACCGTGGAAATACTTATGTCTTAATATACTGAAATCTTTCCTCAAACGAAATGAAACACAAGCAGGGCATCTTCCCAAGTCAGTGACTCTTGAGTAAGGTCTGATATTCCAGTTAGTTGTAGCTTTTCTACCAATGTCCTTAGGACGGTTGGATCTGCAGAAGAGTCATTACTCCTGCTGTAAAGAGACAATAGACAAAAGTTATAGGCAAAAATCCCGGCACGGATTTTCCTCTGTTACACGGATTCTATGCTTTCTATCATGGAAATCCCGGCACATATACACTTGTTCTTGAAATCTGCCAGAAGATGTGTAATTACTTTGATTGTTGGATGCAGCTGCCGTTGCCAGGAAAGCAGGGGAGCCATTAGTGATAGAGGAAATAATAGTTGCCCCTCCAAAAGCCCGTGAGCTTCGCGTTCGAGTCTTGTGCTCCGCCCTCTGCTTCAGTGACATCCATTTCTGGAGGCTCAAAGTATGAATCTCATGTCCTCTAATCACACGCAGATCAGCATAACTTTGCACATGAATCTGTACTTTGATCAAATTCTGACAAACTCGTTTGTTCTGTTTGAAGGAACCGCATGGATATTATCCAAGAATTTTTGGTCATGAAACTGTTGGGTGAGTATTTTCATTCATGCTACAAGTACTAACAAGGTCATGACTTTGCTCAAAGCATTTTAGTCAATTTCTGATCATGTTTGATTCTGTTTAATTTAGGGTTGTGGAGAGCGTTGGAGAGGGAATCGAGGATGTAAAGGTGGGAGACACTGTCATTCCATCATTCTTGGCTTACTGCGGAGAATGTCCTGATTGCACATCCATCAAAAGCAACCAATGCTCCAAATTGAGATTCGAATTGTCTCCTTATATTAGAGATGGGACTAGCCGATTTTCTGATACCAAAGGAGAGACAATTTACCACTTTGGCTACACATCAGGTTTCAGTGAGTACACTGTGGTGGACATCACTCACGTTACAAAAGTAGATCCTGCACTTCCAGCCAGTAGAGCATGCCTGCTTGGCTGTGGAGTATCTACTGGTAATGCCCATTCGCTTCGATTCTTCCTGGCTCAATTCGATTCGTTTTGAACTTCTATTGTTCGTAGGACCTATTTTCACATTTTCTGTTGCAGATTTCAAGAACAAGTGTATATGTGCCGGGATTTCCATGATAGAAAGCATAGAATCCGTGTAACAGAGGAAAATGAGGGCGAAAGTGCTATTCTGCTAGAACTCCTCTTTGTAGATTGACATTTGCACAAGGCTGCATGATGCTAAATTTTTGGCCTAGCACCAGCAGTCTCTGTCTCTGTACTGAGCTGCTGTACATATTAAGGTGGTTTATTGGTAATTGACCTTGGACTTTGCTAATCGAAAGCTCCATTGGTCGGCAGCAAGAATTAACAAATTATGAATAAATCCAAGATTCCATTAATAATTCCATTTAAGAATTCATGGTATAATATGAATAGATATTTTATAGAAATGATAATTTGATTATAATGGATAGAAACTAAAATTAACTTGTAACGAAATAAATGTTTTGAGAGTAAAAAAAATATTTGCAACATATCAACAAATATATCAGAAAATATTTTCAGTGACAAACCAAACGCCGGAAAATTATGAAAAAAGGAATTTGGAAAATATTTTCACTTAATAACCAAACACTGGAAAATTATGGGGAAGGAAGTGATTTTCCAGGAAAATGACTTCGACTGAAAATATTTTCCCTAGGAAAATATTTTCAGTCCAACCAAACGGACCCTACATTACAGTTTATTACATCCGTTATCAAACCATTTTAAGGACTTCAACTCTTTTATGGATTTGTTTATCTTTTCACGTATTATCTTGCATGGCAAGATCACAATCTATTGGCCTTAAGACTACGCATTTCTTGAAAGTAGTTTAGTTATTCATGCTAGATTATCTATGCATTTTTCCTTACCATGCCTGGTAAATAATCTATATAATCCTATCTGCTCGACTAAGTCAATGCTTGCCAAGATAACTTCTCTCCAAGTTAGATTTACCCCTGGACAACACTCATCCAATTCATTAAACAGTTTTGAGTGCTTATAAATGATGCAGTCATTCATGCATTAATGAAGACCGGCAACCTTAATTTGAAGCAGTTTCAATGGATTTTCTCTTTAGCAATATGCACATCTTTTTCTGGAAGCAATTGTATTGCTTCATGTTGTTAGTGATGATGAGCATGGCAAGCCAGAAGCTTGAGGGTAAGAGAATCTTGAGCGAGTCAAGAAGAAATCCTGTCAAGTCCATCAAGGTTATACATCACCCTTGTTCTCTGCACTTTTCTGCCCTTTTAAGTTCATGTTTGCTTTTATGTCCATCCAGGTTATACATCACCCTCGGTTTTTTTTTTTTTTCCCTTCCCCCTCCCCTTGCAAAGGCTTTGTTCTCAAAATCTTCTTTTCTTTTTGAAAGCTTATAATGATAAACTTGATTTTTAGAGAATTTCCTGAAAAAGTTAAAAGCATAATTTTGCATTAAATCATAAGAATTTTACCTAAAGATTCATTATCATATTAGGATCTATTTTTCAATTGAGAACGGGGGAAAAGCAGTGATAACAGCTGAAAATAGACTTTAACTTGAACATGTTAATTACACTTAATTTAAGCGTTAAGAACATAATTAAAAGAGGCAAGTATAGTATCCAACGTACGTATTTGCAATAACAGGTATTAATAATAACTCATCTCCTTTTCTTTTATGTATATTTCTCTACCTACAATACTTAGTAAATTTGTGTATCATATGTTGCCTTTTAGAATTGATTTATGCATATACGGTTGTTTTTGTTCAGAGCCCTGATGGTGATATAATTGATTGTATCCATATCGCTCACCAACCAGCATTTGACCACCTTTTGCTCAAAAATCATACCATTCAGGTTAGCACATCTATCTCAGTTGTGGTGTAACCACTTGGCTATTTGCTTCTTCCTCCCCCATTGACATTCAAAAATCCAAAAGTCAATCAGGAAAAGTCATGTAAATCTTCAATTTTCTCTCATAATTCTTATAAAACTTTTAATTCTTTCTTAAAATCGTTCCTTTAACCAACTAAAAGATGAAAAAGAGTGATAACGTCGTTGAAAAGCAAGTGTAATGTGAGAACGAGCATAATGCATGCGGAGCTAACCTTAAAAAAAAAAAGCAAATTTCACTTTACCCCTCTATGATTTAGTGTTGTTATACATAACCCTCTCATGATTTGAATTAAAGTGTCAAAGTAACTGAATTTACAATCCGTAACGGAATCACTTAAAATGTTAAAAATATCCCTATATAAAGCTGAAAATTATTTATTAACCATAGGGGGTTATACGTATATTTTGAAAATCATAAGGGAGTTATATGATAAAACATTAAATCATAAGGGAGTTATTTGGTAAAACATAAAACCATACTGGGTTAGTGCGTCATATATATTATGTTTATATAGTTTGGTTATTTCAATCATTTTAATTTTTAAACAAGGGTAATTTTGATATTTTCAAAGGTTTCGTTACGAATGATCATTCCCGTTATTTTAACATTTTAATCCAAACTATGATGAAGCTTTTGAAACTATGATGAGGTTATGCATAACTTTTGAAACTATAAGAGGGTTATATACAAAAAATACTATACCATAGGGGAGTAAAATGTAATTTGCCCTAAAAAAATGAGGAACGGATTATGTTGATTCTGAATTGTTCACAAACTTACGCATGTGACATTATAACTGGTCCGTTATTATGGCCATGCCACTGTCACTTGAATGTAGTGCTGAAATTAATATGCTGCAGATGGCGCCGAATTATCACCCAGAAATACTACTTGATAAGAGTAAAATGTCCAACTTCGAACTCCAAAGGAAGCATCATACAAGACCTATTGCTCAGCTATGGCAGTTGAATGGAAAGTGCCCCAAGGGAACCATTCCTATTAGAAGAACCAAGAAAGGTGACTTCTTAAGAGCTCGTTCTATCCTGAGACTTCCGACTGGGAGGCTACCTAGGTTCAGGTTTCCATGGCGACCTCGGACGGCACCTGTCAAAAATTCAGCTACTTATGAGGTACCACAAAATATGTCTCACGAAAAAAAATAATAAAAACAGTAGATTTTGGGACTTTAGCAACTGAAAGAGTCCAACATGTATTTTGCTGTAATTTTCAAGTGCTTTTAATCTAGCAGTTTTAATTTTTCAATCCCTTTATCTAATTTACCCTCTGTTGATGGTGAAATTTCTTAGTATGCATATGCATTTGTTCAAAGTAAAGAGTATCTTGGAACGAAGGCAACTATAAATCTATGGCAACCCCAAATTGATGATGAAGACCAAGGTGGATCTAGCTTGTCCGGAGTTGGGGTTGTAGGAGGTCCTTCAACCAGAGAACTGAACTCCATTGAGGCCGGATGGATTGTAGGTTTTCTCTATAATCATTCCTTAATATGTTTCTTCGTGTTCACGACTTCGTGAACTACATGTGCAATTGTTCCGATCCTACTGCTTTCTTTACTCAGGTCAACCCAGAACGGTTTGGAGATAATAGAACAAGACTTTACACCTACTGGACTGTAAGTAAAAGAATATCTTTCACAATTAATCTTCCGGAGCTGAATCCTTTCGGAGAAATTCCAAAATTCTGATGGAGTTTAGAATTATTTTACAAAAAGTATGTTTTTTGTTTGCCTGTGCAAAAAAAATTACACTCAACATTTGGTTAATGCGATGTTAAAAGAAAAAACTTGGATTTTGATGAAAATGCCATTATCTTGAAAAAATTCTACTCGACAAGGCTAAGTTCAAGCTCACCGAACTCACATTCTATGAATGCAAGGACTCTCTGGCCCAGAATACATGGATAAAAAGCACTTTCCTATAGAATTTGATGGATTTCAAGTTTCATAACAATCTTAGAAATTTCTATCTGCACTTGCTTTTTATAGTATATATTCGTGTATTTGACTTAGCTATAGCATATACCAGAAGAGGATTCTACATAAAGATTTTGTGTTGCAAATTGGTAAAATTTGTAGAGTGACGGTTACCGGTCCACCGGGTGTTACAACTTGTTCTGCTCGGGTTTTGTCCAAACCAGCAATGAAATTGCACTAGGGGCAAGCTTATCCCCGACCTCAGTCTACAATGGTTCGCAATACAATATCAGCATCTTTATTTGGAAGGTAAGCAAAAGAAACCACATTTTTTTTTTATGAATGTAACAGTTCACTGGGAATTCAAGAACTTCAAATATCATGGGAGAATTTTGTTAGGATCCAAACCAGACACTGTGGTGGCTGCAGTATCAGAACAAGACAATTGGTTACTGGCCTACCTCTTTGTTCAAATACCTTGTACACAATGCGTCAGCCATCATTTGGGGTGGAGTCGTAAGCAATGGAAAAGGAGATGGTCTAAACAGTACAACCCAGATGGGCAGTGGCCATTTTCCAGAAGAAGGGTATCAAAGGGCAAGTTACTTCAGGAATCTTCAAATACTCAATGGCTCAAACACCTTAGTAACTCCTGATGATATGATTACAACCGTCGCCAATCAGCCAAATTGCTATGGCATATTATTGGGAAATAATACTGACTGGGGAGACTACTTTTACTACGGTGGACCAGGGAAAAATCCTAAATGTCCATGATCAAACAAAATGCTAGTATTGCAAAATATTACCTACACGTGAAATATATAGTCGTGCATTTGTAAATATAAACCTGCAGATAGATACATATGACGTATTAGATTGCTTGATGTTTCGTTTTGAAGGTGATTTGAGTGTCTGTATTCCGCTTGTACAAATAACTAGCAACTCTAAAAAAGTATATTCAGCTGCTGAAACTCCTTATTGATGTGTATTGCCTTGGTTCACACTAAAAATTACAAGCAAGTTGGCTTATGTATATTGGATTTTCATTTTTTAAGGAGAACCTTAGCTAATGCATTCAGAGTAGAATATAATGGCCACAAGCAGAAAGCATTTTGCAGGTACAAGTGCATGCCAGGTAAAAACAGTTTTGTTACGATAACGATTGCTACTTCGGACTTTTCCTATATATATATATAATCCGTTGGGTCATTATGTGTGTGTGTGTGTGTGTCAAATTGGCTTTATGTTATTCTTACTCCATGATCGCCCACCACCTTTCACGTACCAAGTGAAATTGGAGAGATGAGCACAGAAACAATTGAATGGTGCATCAATATGAAGCCGAACTCTTGTTCCGAAAATTAAAACGACAAATACGGGACCTACACACATATAATCGGCCACCATATATGATGCTTGAGCGGGTGTCCACTAATTTCTTGAATCATCTGTTGCCCAAGAGTTCTGCGGCCAATTCTGTGGATACATGGCGTTCTCAGCCTCTTTACCGCTTAATCTCTGATCCCGTTTCAGCTCCTCACCAGGTGGTGACAACCGCCACTCCTCCACGTCCTCCGGCAGCAAGAAAAAGCATCAAGGCACCAAGTGTTGGGGGATCTTGCCACAATGTGGAAGAAGAAAGTCCTATATCAAGGTTTATCTCTTAAATTTTGCTAAAATATACCCCAATTTTTCTTGTTTAAATTAAATGTTGCTCATTAATCTTCTCTCTGGACTTTTCTTTTGATAGTCTTGTTTTAGTTGTAAATTGAAATTTAATTGACCAATGGATCAGTTAAGAGTCCAAAATTTTTTCACAAGATGAATCTGATGATAACAAAATAGCAAAGATAAAAGTAGTCTGTGGCCAAAAAGTCATCTTTAATCATAAGCTTTGGAGCCTTTAAATAGGCAAAACACACAACTGAAATCCCTTAAGATCAGGTCCCATATCTGGCACCTTCTCCATAACTCCACCACTCCTAAAGACTAGACCACTAAGCCACTAAATCTGCTGACTAAGTCATAACTGAAAGACTCGAACGTACAGCAAATTCCTAAACTCTAGGCCACTAAATGAATGACTCCATTTGAAAAACAAGTTAAACAATAACATAAGTAAAAGTTTCAACAATCCCTCCCTTAAACTGATGTTAGTAAACATCAGTTTACAACCTTGACTGAACCTAGGTTGCAGAGACCTAGTAATCCTCTGAGTTTCACAAACGATTCTCTCTTGAGCGCCTTGGTGAATATATCAGCAACTTGATCATCACTCTTACAATGTATCAAATCAACAGTTCCATCTTTGCAAAGATCTCTCAAAAAATAAAGCTTCACATCAATGTGCTTGCTTCTTCCGTAAAGCATTGGATTCTTTGATAACTTGATTGTAGAGCTGTTATCACATAGTATTATAGTAGCTCCACATTGCTTGAACTGCAATTCCTCAAGTATTCTTCTCAGCCATATGGCTTGGCAAGCACAAGCCGTAGCTGCAACAAATTCAGCTTCTGTACTGGATAAGGTGACAATTGATTGCTTCTTTGATGACCAGGAGATTGCACCTGCTCCAAGCATAAAAACATAGCCAGAAGTACTCCTTCCATCATCTTGATCTCTTGCATAATCACTATCAGTATAACCCACCAAGTTAGATTTTTCACCCTTCTTGTAGCATATCCCTAGGTTTCGAGTTCCTTGTAAGTAACGAAGGATTCTCTTGGCAGCTAACAAATGCAACTCCGTGGGACTTTCCATATATCTGCTGATTAAACTCACAGAGTACATTATATCTGGCCTTGTTGCAGTAAGATACATTAAACTGCCCACAATTTGCTTGTAGGGTGTGCTATCAACCTTCTTTCCATCATGATCTTTGTGTAGCTTCATGCCACATTCAATTGGAGTACTTACGGAATTGCAATCCTTCATATGAAATCTATTCAAAATTTCTCCCACATATTTCGTTTGAGATAAGACAATTCCATCATCTGATTGCATTACTTCTATGCCAAGAAAATAATGCATCCAACCAAGATCAGTCATTTCAAATTCATTCATCATGGATTTCTTGAATTCACCAAACATGGTATCACAATTTCCAGTAAATATAAGGTCATCAACATACAGGCAAACTATGAGAAGCTTCCCCCCATCTTCAATCTTAACAAACATTGTATGCTCATAAGGACATTTTATAAAACCAACTTTAAGAAAATACGTCTCAATTTGACTATACCAAGCCCTCGGAGCTTGCTTTAGTCCATAAAGAGCCTTTTTCAGTCTGAACACTTTATTCTCATTCCCAACTTTAATATAGCCAGGGGGTTGCTCAATAAATACCTGCTCCTCCAAATACCCATGCAAGAATGCTGATTTGACATCTAGCTGGAAGATAGGCCAAGAATTTTGCGCTGCTAATGCAACCACCAATCTGATCGTGTCATGTCTTGCAACTGGAGAAAATACTTCTGTATAATCAACCCCGTACTGCTGCTTGTATCCTTTTGCCACCAGGCGTGCTTTGTACTTGTCAACACCGCCATCTTTGTTTAGCTTTGTCTTGAAGACCCATTTGACACCAATGGTTTTGTGCCCCTTAGGAAGATCACACAACTCCCAAGTGTCATTCTTCTCAATTGAATTGATTTCATCGTCCATTGCCTTTTGCCATTTTTCTTCTTTGACGGCACTCTCAAAAGTTGTAGGATCACAATCTGCGAACAAAGCAAAATGAGTAATTGGATTACTTAACCCAGTTACCTCATAATCTTCCATCCAAGCAGGCCTTCTTCTAACTCGACCAACTGACTGGGCTCCTTCTTCATTTACTTCAGCAACTGGTTGTGAAATTCCAGTAGCTGTTTGAGTTGTATCTGAAGAGTTTTGTGGCATGTCAAGTGCTGGAACTTGCTCCTGTTTAGCATCATCATCATAAAAGACTTGTTTAGGCTGCTACCCATCCCAATCCCAGGTGCTTTCTTCTTCAAAAACAACATCCCTGCTGGTCACAATCTTCTTCGTCAGTGGGTTGAATAATTTATAGGCTTTGGAGGATTCACTTACGCCAAGAAAGATGCATTTCTCAGCTTTGTCATCAAGTTTTTTTCTTTTCGCATCCGGGATGTGGGCATAAGCGAGGCAACCAAAGATTCTAAAGTGATCTACAACTGGTCTTCTTCCACTCCAAGCCTCTTCAGGAGTCTTGTTTTGAACGGCAAAAGTTGGACTTCTGTTTAAAACATGAATACTCCAGTTTACAGCCTCCGGCCAAAAAGTCCTTGGAACTCTTCCCCTTGTTAATAGAGTTCTCACCATATTAAGAATTATTCTGTTCTTCCGCTCCGATACACCATTTTGTTGTGGTGTATGTGCAGCTGTAAGTTCTCTTCGAATGCCATGTTGCATGCAAAAACCTTCAAATTCTTTTGAGCAATACTCGCCACCCCGATCTGTTCGAAGAGACTTAATAGTCTTGCCTACTTCATTTTCCACAAGAGCTTTGAACCTTTTAAACATAGTAAGAGCTTCTGATTTTTCCTGTAAAAAATAAACCCATGTTTTCCGTGAAAAATCATCAATGAAGGTAATTAAGTATCTTTTACCTCCATTAGACGATGGGTTTATTGGGCCACAAATATCTAAATGCACCAGCTCTAACACATCCTTTGCTCTCCAAGACTTTCCTTTGGGAAACTGAGAACGGTGTTGTTTGCTAACAACACAGTCTTCACAAACTAGGGAGGGAACAGTAATTTCCGGAAGCCCTGTCACCATGGTTTTCTGTTGTAGAGCCCTCATTCCACCAAAACTTAAGTGGCCATAACGAAAATGCCACAACCATGAGGGGTCCTTTACCTCAGCCATCAAACAAGATTGAATGCTTTCAATTTCTATTGGAAATAATCTGTTAGAACTCATCTGGACAGTTGCAATAGAACTTCTTCTATCAGGATCATAAATTTCACAAGTGCCTTTCTTAATTGTAATGGCATACCCCTTTTCTTGCAACTGACCAGCACTCAACAAATTACTTTTCAAATCAGGAACATACAACACATTAGAAATTGTTTTCACAAAGCCATTCTTAGTATGTATCTTAACATCACCTTTTCCCATCACTTTCACAGTAGAGAAGTCACCAAAACTGACAGTAGAGTGAAAGCTTTCATTTAGATTCGAAAAAGAAGACTTACTTCCACTCATGTGATTGCTGCAGCCTGTATCGACATACCAAATATTCGACTCAATCTTTTTTCCTTCATGGGTAGCCATCAACAAAGTTTCTGGTTCATTCGTTTCTTCTGCAAAATTTGAGTTCTCCTCTCTTTCTTTATACGTTGGCAGTTCAGTGACATATTCAGAAGGATAATGACCATATTTGTGACATCTAAAGCACTCTACTCTAGATTTGTCATGATCTCGATTTCCCCTTCCTCTTCCTCGGCCTCTGCCTCTTCCTCTTGAGCTGTTGGAGCGAGTGTTGGTAGAAGCTTTTAAAGCTTGTTCCTCCGCTGTCCACCTTCGATTCATCTTCTGTTCATGGACTAACAAGGAGCTCTGCAATTCATCAAGAGAGAGGTCATCTATGTCGTTTGACTCTTCAATTGAGCAAACAACATAGTTAAATTCTCGCGTCATAGAACGCAGAATTTTTTCTACTATGTTAACATCTTTAATCTCTTCTCCATAGCATCTCATTTTATTTGCAATTTCCATCGTCCTTCCAATAAAGCTTGTAACAGATTCCGCGTCCTTCATCTGCAAAACTTCAAAATCCCTCCTCAAGGCTTGAAGCTGTGCACGCTTTACTCTAGAAGAGCCTTGATATTTTTTCTTCATTGAATCCCAAATATCCTTGGATGTATCTTTGCAAAGAATAGTCTCCAAGATGGGACGATCAATAGCCTGGAAGAGATAGTTCTTCGCTTTCAAGTCTTTGAGCTTTCTAGCTTCAATGTCTGTTTGCTGAGCATCTGT